ATACCAAATATTATTACTATTACTTATTGCACTTGAATCTCTCAGTACACAGTACAAATTCACACGCTGTGCTGTCACACATTTTCCGAGACAGGATGTGTTTCTATGTTCTGTCTCTGAGAACAAGATACAGTGACCACAGATTGAACCTCACATAAACTTAGGTCACGGTAGGTTTAACCTTCATCTGTAAGTTTCAGTTTTTAAACAACCTGTCTGTGGTGTTGTCGCTGTGTCTGACCACATTAGCACATTATGAACTTTTAAGAAGAACATGCCGCTAAACATCCTGTTCTGATTGGGGAGGGGACCAGAGAAAACTACAGAGTCTGACATTGTTTTGGCAAAGTTACACACCGATTCAATATTGATTTTAGTGACCTCTGATTGACGTAATCAGGTGTCATTACTGCCGACGTGAATTATGATTTTACTGATTTTACGTTTACCCTTAGCCAGCAGTTTTAAATTTCCTTCAATGTCGCCTGCTCTGGCCCCTGGAAGACAATAGACTATGGTTGCCGGTGTCTCTAGCTTCACATGTCAGCTAGCGGGGACTTCGCCACCTTTGCCTGCTCCAGCTACAGGGGCCTGGCTAGCTATGGGTGCGAAGCCAATTCAGCCTCCAGAGCTGCAAATAGGCTACATTTATTACAAGTATCATTACTGCTAAAGGAGGGTGAGGAGTAATTAAACATCTGACACAATGAGCAGGAAAGTGCAGGAGGGACAGGTGAAGACTAACAGTTTTTATTGTTAATACAGCCCTGATCAAAAGTTTAAGACCACTTAGAAAATGGCAAAAATAAAAAATAAAAAAATCATATTTTACATGGTTAAATCTTAACAAGATTCCAAGTAGATGCAATGCAATTTGTTGAAAACAACTCAGCACCATTACACCTCCTCCTCCATGCTTCACGGTGGGACCATCTGTTCACTTTTTCTGCGTTGCACAAAGACACTGCAGGTGGAACCAAAGATCTGAAATTTGCACTCATCAGACCAAAGCATAGATTTCCTTGTGTTTCTTGGCCCAAACAAATCTCTTCTGCTTGCTGCTTTTCCTTAGTCGTGGTTTCTTAGCATCTATTTCACCATAAAGGTCTGATTTGCACACACTCTCTGAAAAGTTGAGCAGTAGAAATATGTCCGCTACTGGAACTCTGTGCAGCATTTGTCTGGGCTCTAATCTGACATGCTATTAACATGCAATTTCTGAGGCTGGTGACTGAGATGAATTTATCCTCAGCAGCAAAGTTGAATCTTGTCAAATAGGGATGTCAGCTGTGCACCAACCTGACTTCTGACAAACACAGGTGATGGTCCCAACCACATTAAGAAGGCAAGAAAATCCACAAATGAACCCTAACAAGAAAATACGTGTCAGAGAGAAGGTGGCCAATGATAAAGATAAGTAATCTTCTGTGATACACTACTACAATTCAGACCGGTATATCCTGACTGTCATTCTGTGACAGCTGGGATGGACTCCAGCTCATCAGTCACACTAGATAAGTGAAGGAAAATAGATGGATGGATGAAATATATCTTATATGTAATAAAATGTATTTTGTATTTATGTCGTTAAAAATTACAAGTGATGGAATTTAGCTCAGTTGACTCAAGTGCTTCAGTATACCTCTACTACGCTATCTTACAGACAAATACTGATGTACTGCAACGACTACATTTTTCTAAAATCTTTATTTACTTAGATTTAAATACAAAATGCCATACTGTTACAAATGAAAGAACAAACAAACAATGGAACGAAAATTATCATTTTGTATGATTCTGATGAAATCAAGGATACACTGTAGTATTAAACATCCCTTTATGGGATGAGAAAGTCCTGCCATTACATAAGGGTCTTAAGTTAGATGTATAAGGTACTCTGAACAGGAAACAGACAGATTTTTTTAGAAATGGGTCTGACAGGAAACAGATGGCATAAACAATTAAGACCCTTATAAAATATAGAATGCTACAGATTAAGCTACTGAAAAATTAAAAAATCACGTAATCATTTGAAGAAGTAAAATCCAACAACACATAAAAGTAAGCACCATATATCTCACATAGGTGAAAACAAAAAAAAAAACAGTGACACTGGTTATTTAGCTTAACATTTGACTTATGTAATGTATAACTTTTTAATGCCCTTGATACTTTCATTTTACAGTTTGTACAGTTACATTGCAGGGAGATTCACAAGGAGCAACTCAGGCAAGCACGGAGATTTGATAGGAGGTGTCTGTGTTTACCAACGTCCAGGAGCACCACGGATTCCTCAGTTAGATAAATAAACTTTTTTTTTTAAATGTTCTTTCCATTTCTGTAATGTAATGTAATTCCCAGTTTCACTGGTATATGTTGTGTGGTAAATACACAAAACAAATATTTAGCAACTGTTTAAAAATCTTTCACCAGTCATGCAAGAAGAGTCAACAGCCTATTTTCTTACTGTTCTCCTCTCCATTTCTAAGCGTTACTTTCAGGTGCCCTTTTTTGTCCTGGTTTGTTCCCAGGTTCTTGAATTAACTTAAACTTGGCAAAGGAATAAACCACAACAGTTTTTTTTTTAAAAGCACAAACTTTGAAAGGTATCGAAAGTTTGTTAACTTGTAGGATGAAAAGACTTGTGAACACACATACAAACTTTGCATTTTTTTAATCAAACAGGAAAAATAAGAAAAGAAAAAGCAGGGCGGACAGATGCAGATCCTGCAAAAAAGTAAGTAAAAGTTAATCAAAGTCCACAACACACCCCTCCCAAGCAGGATACAAATTATAGTCTCCTAGTTGATAAGCATCTAACCCTTTCCACCTCCACCTGTACAACCTCAAAATGTGGACTTTTATCTCTCAGTCTGCAATATTCTCTTGACCATTGGATGAAGGATGATACAACTAAGGAACCTTTGGCTCTTATTTGACATCGGTGTGGCACTGGTGGCTAGTACAACTTCATTTTGTACACTGTTGTGAAATATGAGAAATCCACATCCAGACATCTGTGTGCATAAGATTTTTGAGTCCACCAGAATAATCTAATACAATTGTAACATAATGTTAATGAATATATCCCAGACAGGAACTGGGGACCTGCGGGGGGGGGAAAAAAATTACTTTGGGCGCCACCACCTTAATACTGCAGACACTGCCACCCCTAAAAATATAAAACTGTGCATACATTAATTCATATTTAGATAAATAGATTTATAATAATAAATAATAATAATGGATTGCATTCATATAGCGCTTTTCGGGACCCCCTGTTTATCTTTTTGCAAGCTTGATGAGATATGTGCATGCCATTTGTTACATTTATTTTTTTTTTAACATTGATTAGTACCGTACACCAACTACAAATATTTTTGACTTTAAAATGGTGTAAAACACAAGTTTAAACTCTTTTATTTATAATGTAAAGTACTGGCACATATACTTCTTTGAATGTCAATTTTTAAACAAGGTATAGCCAACAAAAATATGTCCCTGTAATAAGACTTAGTGAAATTCAGGTTTCAATATGATTTAGTTTACTGAAGTGTGCAAAATATTGTCCAAAAATGCTCTGTTCATGTGGGTTATAATTATAATGTATTATTATGTATTAAAAAATAAATAGTCTGTAGAATAAAATTTTAGTTTCCAAGGGGCTTTCTGCCAATCAGACTCATTGTTTGACATAAAAGAACTCACCTATTCTTCTTCAAGTATCAGTGGTGTTGGTGTCAGTGGTGTTGGTGTCAGTGGTACGGAGAAGAGTGAGCGTGACAGCTGAGCCTGAGAAAATGGGTTGATCTGTTTGGCCTGGCAGCAGGCCAGCAGATGCAGGAAAAAGTATTTAAGTAGACATATGTACAGAAGTTCTGTCTGCACTGAATACATGTTGGCTAAAATAAGACAAAACATTACTATGTGATAGAAATGAAGTAAGAAAACTAACACTAGTTTAATCTTTCATGGGGACTTTCTTAGTTTGAATTCAGATTAACGGAGCTAATCTACTGTATCTTTCTCCTGCAGAGATACAGTTCTAGAGCTCAGCATCAGGGAGGAGGGCTTACACCTGGGAGGTGGGGGGGCAGGGTCAGAGGCTGACTAGATTTTATTCTTTGTTGACAGAAAACAAAACTAACGCAGGGAAACAAATATGCTCATAAGTACTATGTGAAGCAAACATTGCTTTATGGTGATAATGGATACATTTTCATAATAATAATAATAATAATAATAATAATAATGATAATAACTGAAGTTTAGTCATGGCCCAGAATCATCATTACCTTTCTTCCCTTCTCCTCTGCTAGCACAGTTGCGCATAACAAGGTATAAAGCACAATCACTTAATTCTCATTATCACTTGTAGTAATATAAACTCAGAATACAGGCAACAAGGTCAGGTTAACATGCATTGTAATTACATGTTTCTTTTCATGCTAGATTTATACAACTAATACTGTGTCTTAATATTCCAATAATATTTTTGTGTAAAAAATATTTGACATGTAAAGAGTTAATGGAAAGACAAAAACAAGTTGTGGATTGTAATTTATTAATCATTTTTATAATTTGTACTGCATGCAGGTTAAAGTGAACAGATACCTGGGGGAACTTGGTGACTCTTATTTTTTGCAGGAGGACTGGGTTTCTCTTTCAGGATGTATTTTATGATCAGTAAGATCAAGACCACGATAAAGGCAATTCCAGCCCACTAAAATGAAGAACAGAGAAAGGAAACAAAACATTAAAATCAAATATGTCATAAATGCTGTTCATAAACCACATTTTGTAGAAAGCAAATGACCTCATCTCACATATCAATTCTCACTCCAAAATTTAAAAAAAAACAGAATTTTACATACCTGAGAGTAAACGTACCAGTCCTGAGATTTCTTCAGTCTGTCCTGATATGAGGTACCATTTTCTGGTTCACACCATTTCAGTGGGGCAGCT